GGGGGGGGGAGGGGAGTCAGAAATCATTATCATCCTCAATACTTAGGATTCTTACAGGTGACAGGTTAATGCATTTACATTCAAAGAGGAGGGAAGCACCACTGTATTTTTTACTTTCAGATTTCTTTTTGAGCTGTGAAAAATCAATACTAAACCAAAGTTATGATACCAACTTTGTTTGCACCCCAAGAGATTTTTCTTTTCATTTTTCCTTTGTTAAAGCAAAAGATGAATTATTTCTTGTTTAAGTTGTTTACCTCTTCTAATACACAAGCACAATGGATGACAAACTAATGGAATTGATCTAAATAGTCCTGACTTTTCTTAACTCTAAAGAAAGGTAAAAAAAATACTTTTCAGTTAAAAAAAAAAAACCCTTCTTACCTATTATAAAGGAAAGGGTCACTGATGAAAGATAAACAAAATGAATTAATCATTATTTGGGTGTAGTTAGATCATACCTTATTGATACCCATTGACAAGAAGTGGTCCAGCAGGTATCGGGCTTCTGTAAGTGTGCAAGCATTAATGACCGCAGTGATATCCAATGTTTCTCCTTCTTCCTACATCAAATCAGCATATGTCGAACATTATTTTGAGCTGAATATATTCAGAGGCAAAAGCCTGTTGTCTCATTTATTTATTTGATAGTGTTGGGTAAGTTAATAAGACTCCTCAGAAAAATGTAAAATATGATCCCTACTCCAAGAAACATATGGGTTAGTTGAAAAGAAAAGACACATTTGAGCAGTTAAGAATTCAAGGTGGATTAATAAGTGATATACGTTTTTATATCTTTTTGATTTAAAATTTTTTTTAATGTTTATTTATTTTTGAGACAGAGAGAGACAGAGCATGAACAGGGGAGGGGCAGAGAGAGAGGGAGACACAGAATCTGAAACAGGCTCCAGGCTCTGAGCTGTCAGCACAGAGCCCGACGCGGGGCTCGAACTCACGGACCGTGAGATCATGACCTGAGCTGAAGTCGGACACTTAACCGACTGAGCCACCCAGGCGCCCCTCTTTTTGATTTTATAAACAATAAATAATATCACAAAATTAGCAAAGAAATCTGGAGAGCAAGCAGGGAGTGATATTCATGCAAAACCTAAGAATCATAGTAAACCCATAAATAGAAAATTCCTTGATATAAAAATTCAAAGTGCTTTTCATGATTAAAAATACAAAAACATCTTCCTTAAGCCATTAACCATTTTTTTACAATTACAAACCTTTGCTTCTTCCATCTGCATGATGTTGGCTTGACAATCAGAAATACTGTCATTGATGTAATCTATGTTAGCAGTTAATGACTCCATCTCCTCATTGATGTTAACCACATTTTTATCTCCCTCTCCACTCTCCTTGACCATCTTTTCTCGTCTTTTTGAAAGTTTCTCCCGTCTTTTTGTGAGTTCTTCCCGTTGCTATTGAAAAAACAGATTGGATTTTAAGAAATGATATTCATCCAGGACCTTAAGAATATTATGCTAAATGAAATAAGTGAGTCACAGAAGGACAAGTACTGCAAGATTTCATTCATATAAGGTATCTAAAAGAGTCAAACTCATAGATGCAGTAAGTAAAATGGTGGTTTCCAGGGGCCGGGGACCAGGTTGGGGGGAATTGAGGGGTGCTATGAAGTTTCAGTTACTCAAATAAGTTCTAGACATCTGCTAATCAACACTGTTCCTATAGTTAACAATGCTGTACTATACACTTAAAAATGGGTTAAGAGGGTAAATCTCGTGCTGTCTTTTCTTACCACAATTAAGACAAAACAAAACAAAAAAGAAATGATGTTCATCTGTTCACACATAATGCGATCAAAACCCACAAAAAAAGAAAAAGAAAAAAAGACAAATTGGTAAGGATTAATGTACCAAGGGATCAAATTTGGAAACCTAAAATTACCAGTCAGCTAAGAAAGAACATATCTATGTTCTGTTTTCCACACCTTGAGGAGCCTATTCATATCCGTCTCCATATTGGAAATAGTCATTTTCTGCATGATGATGTCTGTGACCCTGCGCTCAAGAAGCTGCCACTTCATGCGAGCTGTCTTGGAAGTAAACACTCGGCCAGTCAACCCTTTCCTCTGATATTTTTTTCTATAACCATATAAAAACAGATAAACATAATTATTACTTATATGTTTATTTGACTGTATGCCAAAAAATAAGCTGTTTTTTCATTTAAGTCCAACATTCAGTAATAATGCCACAAAGATTATGTCAGAAGGAACAAAAGAATTGTACTGACCTGGTTCCATTTGTTGTGGGCGTTGGTAAGGCCTGGACTCTTGCCACAGGAATTCTCATTTTCTGCTGGGCTCCTGCCCTTGATACATCTGCTTCTACAGCAGCTGCACTGGAACCCGTGTCCTGAACGGGGGTATCGGATGAGCTCAGCTTCCGCATGACTTTCCCAGCTACTCTATCTGACATGGGCCTCACTTGCCTACGAAGAGCTGTAACCTGAAAGTGCAACAGAGATAGACTCACTCTTTTAGTCTACAGAAATACATCACGTATCTCAAAGCCAGATGTTTCCTCCAAATGATCAACTTGCCTCTTCGGTTTTGCGACGAAGAACCACTTCTTGGTTTCTTTTTTGGGCTTCCAGAAGTCTAAGTTGATGCTATAAAAATAATATTGAATAAGTTAAAATACTAAACTGAAAGATACAATGCTTTCTACTCCTGCATTAACGTATGCCCCATCCCACTGCATTAACATATGCCCCAATACTTCCTACTCCTGCATTAACAGATGCCCCATCAGTTCTTAGCAAAATCTGAGCTAAAAATGACCTTGCATCCATTACTACAGATAAGAATATTTTATTCCAATAAACAAAAATACATACTGATGCAGCCATTTCTTTCTGAAAAATGAAGTTATCTCTGGTGCCACAATTTTATTTAAGAAACATTCATAGTGCTTACTATATACAACTGCTTTTCTAAATGCCTTACAAATATTGTATCATTTCATTTTTTGCTAGACATTTAATTTTGCTGAGGAAGAAACACAGCTTAGAATATTTCCAACAAAGTCACCTTAAAATATATCAGTAATTATTAACTCCATTTTAAATATAGGGAAAACATATATTAATTGTATTAGCACTTTACAAGAACTTCGGAAATATTATGTTGGGTAAAGTAAATGAAAAATAAAACATGTCGGTATTGGTTACCAATTTGCTTTTAGGTACTCTATATGATAAAGACAATTAATTATAAACAACTTTAAGTCATTTTATAAGGCTATAATTTAGGAAGAAATTTTGGACTGAAAAAGAACACAGATCCTAGTTTTGGTTCTGTCATTTATTCAACTCTGTGATCTTGGGCAAAGCTTAGGAATTGGACTTAATCACAAACATTCTAGGACTTAAATTCTGTGATATACCAAATAACCTTCATGTTTTGTATCCCTAGTTCAAACAGATCATTCATCTCATGTTTATGCATAGTCCTATGTCATCAGATGAGAATTCTCTGAGAAACGGACACTATCTTATCACTGCTGTATCTTCATTGCCTACAACAATGATTGACATAGAGGCAAAGTTAATAAATGTTTTTAAATAAATGAACTTCCAAAAATTAAAATAAACAAATGGTTTGAAACTTGTTACTAAATTAAGTTTTTTCTTATTCAAAATCAAATCTCAAGCTCATTCATATTTTTGGTACAAAGGGTTTGAAGATGAATATGACAAGAAACAATTTAGAAAGGGAGTCAATATGCACACAAAGCAATAAGTAGAAGGGCAAAGGAGTCTGAATGTTAGCTTTGTATGTGACTAGCCAGCCTCATATCTTTATAACAGAATATTATATCATATATGATCCTATGTTGTACAATAAGATTCAAAAATTCCATACTAGTAGTTAATTGTGCAATATTACTCTATCTCATATGAATTAGTTGTAAAGAAATAAGTACAGTACATTATAAGGAAATTATTCCTGTCATCCAAAAGTTTTCATTAAAAATAAAATAAATAGGGGTGCCTGGGTGGCGCAGTCGGTTAAGCGTCCGACTTCAGCCAGGTCACGATCTCGCAGTCCCTGAGTTCGAGCCCCATGTCAGGCTCTGGGCTGATGGCTCAGAGCCTGGAGCCTGTTTCCGATTCTGTGTCTCCCTCTCTCTCTGCCCCTCCCCCGTTCATGCTCTGTCTCTCTCTGTCCCAAAAATAAATAAACGTTGAAAAAAAAATTAAAAAAAAAAAATAATAAAATAAATAAATAAATATGGTATTTGTCTCTCTCTGACTTATTTCACTTAGCATAATACTAACTCCACCCATGTCACTGCAAATGGCAAGATTTCCTTCTTTAATATGTGGAATTTAAGAAACAAAAATGAGCAAAGGGAAAAAAAAGAGAGAGAGGCAAACCAAGAAACAGACTCTTTAACTGTAGAGAATAAACTGATGGTTACCAGAGGAGAGTTGGGGAAAGGGGCTGAAATAGGCTGAAGGGACTGAAGGGGCCGACAAGGATTAAGGAATGCACTTGATGAGCACTGAGTATCATATGAAGGTGTCGAATCACTATACTGTATACCTGAAACTAATATTACACTGTATGTTAAATAACCAGAATTGGAATAAAAACTTTAAAAATAAATAGCCAAAAAGTGGAAATAACCCAAATATCCACCAACTAAGGAATGCAAAAACAAAATGTGCTCTATCCATACAGTCATAAAAAGGAATGAACTACCAATACATGTAATAACATGGATGAACCTTGAAAACGTCATGCTAAATGAAAGAAACCAAACACAAAAAGTTATATATATCATATATTCCATTTACAATGGGCAAATCCATGGAGACAGAAAGTATACCAGAATGGCTGTCAGGGCCAGGAAGACGGAAGAATAGGGAGTGACTGCTAATGGATATGGAGTTACTTTTTGGACTGATAAAAAATATTCTGGAATAAGATGGTAATGATTGTTGCACAATTCTGTGAATATATTAAAACCTTGAATTGTATAGTTTAAAAGAGCAAACTTTATGGCTCACGAATATATGCCAATTTTTTAATAGGAAAAAAAAAGAAATATAGCCTTAATACAGAAGTCATCTTGTGAAAATATCTACTTTTCTCTGTCATTACTTTCTTCTATCTCCTTAAGTTTTCTTTTTATTTCCCAAAGTAGGTTTCTATTTTCTAAAATATGCTGTATGCTCAGATTTTCTCCAGGGAGGACTTAGAAAAAGTTGAGCAAGAAAAAAGGAACAGAAGCTGAAACCTAACCAACAATGGAGAAAAGACCACGGTGGCCTCTTCTTCTTCTGAGGAAAAAAAAAAAAAAACCACCATAAATGAAAACACCAAATTGCTGGGGTGCCTCTGACTCTTGATTTTGGCTCAGGTCATGATCTCATGGTTCATGAGATTGAGTCATATGTTGGGCTCTATGCTGACAGTGTGGAGCCTGCTTGAGATTCTCTCTCTCCCTCTCTTTCTCTGTGCTCATGCTCTCTCTTACCCCACTGTGCTCATGCTCTCTCTCTAAATAAATAAACATTAAAAAAAAAAAAGAAATAACCATATTGCCAAAATTTAGAAAGAATAAAAAACAAATAGGCTGTAACTTAAAATCTTGACACAGCTACAGTTAGCATGCTGGTATATATCCTTAAAATTTTCCCCTCATTTAATCAAGCATGCATATATGAAATGCTACTTTATGCTTAATGTTAAATCACAGTCATTTTTCATTTTACTATGCAGTCTCCAAATCCTAATCTTCAATAGATGAATAATAACCTATTAAATGAGATGGGCTATAATTTATTTAACTATTCTCCATACTGTCAAGTATCTTGGTTGTTTTTACGTTTTTCACTATTACAAATTACTCTAGATTAAAGATTTTAATACATAACAATTTTTCTTATTTTAGATTATTTTCTTAGTCTGAGTTCATGGAAGAAGCAGGATTCTTGAGTGAAAGAATATGAAAACTTTTGCGCTCTTATTAAAGACACCTCTAGTGAAACTGGGTTATTATTCAGGAACATCTCTAAGACTCTCTAGGTGAAACTGTCTTTGGAACCATCCTAAAATCACTATCTTATACAATACTATAAGTAGTTACCTGATTTCCCTAGAGATAACCAATTATATCTTTGCCATTTTCTCCTATCTCATCATCTAGGAAATAAGCCTCTAACAAAATTTATAATAACATTATATTGTTTTTCATAAGCTTGTATATTGAATCACTATAATCCATATAATAACTGCCATATTACTAAATTAATGCATACTTATTGTCCTTATGCTTATTGTCCTTAACCTGCATTTAATAGTTAAAGTTATAAGAAAATTTTCTTCCATTTACTAAACAAGCTTGTTCAATGTACAAGATTTGTATATAACTGAAAGTTAAAGTCCACTCACATCTCTTTTACGTTGATCTTTTTTCAATTGAGCAATCTCTCTGTTTCTCCTAGACTCTGTCAATCTGGCTTTTTCTTGTTCTTCTTTCATTTGTTTCATTAGTCGAACCTAAAAAAATTAGGTAAACACATCTATTGGAGTTACCCTATCACAACATTCATTAAACTAATGGAAGCAAGCAGTTAGAATTCTGAATACTTAACAGAGACAAGTGGACTTTTGTTGCACATTTTAAATGGTCAATTCTAATTTTTGTGGGATTAGTACATTTCTTTTTCTAATAACTTTTCTAATACATTCCTATCAAATTGCTTAGTGCTCTATGCTTTTTATATAAATGTTCAATTGTTCTATAACTTGAATGAATTTTTGGTACTTATTACCAGTAGCTGTGTGACCTTGAACAAATTACTTTACCTCCCTAGGTTTTCATTTTCTCATATATAAAAAATATATATAAAAAATAACAGTTCTGTGGCATTATACTATTATGAGAATTTAACAAGTAATACCTGAAGAGTGCTTATAATAATGCTTGGCATATTGTAAGCACCTAATAATTTTAGCTATTGTTGTCCTCAGCAAAGACACAACATAAGAATCTAAAACTTCCTAAATCATTTTCACATTTGCTGATTTTCACACCAAATGTTAATAAGAAAAATTCACCCCACAGAAAAAACAGATAACAGATCAGAATTCACATACTGTTTTGTTAAGAGAAGACGATGTGCATTCTTCTATGCATGGGAATGATAAACACTAAATTCAAGATAGTTGTTACCTCTTCAGGAAAGAAGATGATCAAAAAGGAATACATAGACTTTCCATATAACTGTAGTGTTTAAGATAGTGTATACAGTGTTCATTATGTAATTTTTGATGATTTTTTTCATGTTTGAAATATTTTACGTGTTTCAGGAGGAGAGATATCCATCAGAGTCAAAAGAAGCCCTATTTTCAACCACATGATTTTCACCTACTCTGAAGAAAGGTTTTGATAATGGATGAGTGCAGGAAGCAACTTCTAATTGCCAAAAGGAAGTACATCATTTGTAAGACTCGGTTACCCTTTTATTGAATATGGAAAGAATCACAATAATTTTTTTGTCCCAAATGAAACACATATCCTCAACATCAGATTTTAATGCAAAATACAGTCAGTACCTTTGTTTTTTTCATTTCCATCACATCCTGCTGCAATTTCTTCAACTGCTTTTCATATTGAGACTGGTTTTTAAGCAACCTTGCATGCTCTTTCTGAGCTGTCTGAAGTCTTTGCAGTTCTTTATTCATGGCTTGAAGTTTCTTTTCATATTCAGACCTAACTTTTTTTGCCTTTTCTTCTGAATAAGACTCCACTGAGCCTAAATGACCAAAGGATATTTGCATTTGTTTCTGTGAGACACAGATTTTTCACATCACAGATTTATAACTTATGACCTTAGAGAAAAACTACCTCCCAAACACAAACTTCAAGAAGCCAGGGTATCTTTGAATTACTCTCTGTTTTATTATCTACTCTCAACTTGTTTAACAGTTTTGTTTTTTTTTTAATTTAATAAATGTTTCCAGCATTAAGACAGTAAAACAATCAGCCACAACTTTGGACAAAATAATTAAATAGCCTAAATAGGTATCAAAATGAAAAAAAATAGGCAATATTTAACATGACACAAACTCATATTTAATGTGGCCGCTAATGTAATGTCTTTCTTCTAAGGGAAGCAATGATAAACACCCATTTTGGCAATTTAATTGGAACCTTAATTAGAATTAAATGTAATTCTTACCTAAATTCTGGAGCACCTGGTCTCTCTCCAACTGAGTGTCCCGAATCTTATGCTGCAACATCATTAGCTTCTCTTCATACTGCTTTTTCAGTGTCTGCAGTCTTTTCTGGCTGTTTTCTAGTTCATCAATCAGTTTTTGCTTGATTGCAATTTCACAGGTAATGTTTGCTAAGTCTGCTTGATAATTGGCTATTTATAAAGGAAGAAAATAAACATACTGCAGTAGGCAACAATATCATAATTCCAGCTTTTGAGCAAGAGCATGAAAACGAGCATCTACATCCAGGCATTCACTTCGCAGCTAGAAGGAGAACATCCTGGGTAACCCCAAAACTACGAAAAGGTGGTAAATTAACAGCGTTCACACTAAGCAGTGACAACAGATACTATTTGTACTAAATAAGAATGGAAATCACATAGTGACTAAATCCAGTAAGGGCAGAAACATGAGGCTGGAAGGGGATACACAGGTTGGCAGTTGTAAAAGCTGCCTTCATCAAGAAGGAAATGGAGAATGTTCTCTCCCCAAATTTTAAACATATTCCCCAAATGAATCTTTGTCCTTGTACTAGACAGCAAGTACCTTTTTCATCTGATTCGGAATCTGATTCATCAGAGCTTTCACCCCCTTCAATGTCATCTTCTTCTTCCTCCTCCTCTTCCTCTTCCTCCTCATGATCACTCACTTCTTGACTTTCTTCCTAAAATGTGATTTGTGACTATTAATAGTCCAATATCAGCAAAACAAACTGATTACCTCATTAGATTGCCAGAGTACAAAATACAGAAGTATACAAATTTCACCTTTCAGTACTTCAAAAATCATTTCACACTTGTAAGGGTATTACATAATTTGTCTTAAATAAAATAGTGTTTTCTCTCTCACAGTATTCTATCCACACACACACAATGCTTTCACATTGCACAAAATTGAAAGTTGCCAGTATTTTATGGCTCACATTTCTGAAGAAAAGAAATCCTTAAACAAATAGTTTAAAATGGATGCATGATAACTATTTCCCTTTTCTACATATAAATTAGTAGCTATCGGCAACCATAAATAAGCTAAATTCAAGGACTGAAATTTACAAGTTCATTCTTTCATACTTACCACTTCTAATTCATTGTTCTCTCTTTCTGTAATACCCTTTTCTTCTTTCTTCTCTTGGTCAGTATCTGCATTATCCTCTTTACCAGCCACACTTAAAAAAAAAAAGAGGAACAAAAAGATACAGTATTTAAGTAGAGAGGAAAGGTGTTCACTTTTGTCTCCCAGATTTTAAAAACCATCAATTACTTTTGGAAATAAACTAAGAGTTTATCATTTGAGCAAAGTTATATCTGATGTTTCAGAGGAAAGTAGAAATTGCCATTCCAGCCATAGTGACTTATCATTGGGAAAAAGATCATTTTCTAGAAACACTGAGGAATAGATTATCCCCTAGAGTATGAGATCTGAGGAGACCGCTAAGAACTAGTCACAGTAACAGTCAATTAATTAGAATGTAGATGATTTAAATTCAAAGGAAATCAAAACAAATATTTTGCTTTTCTCATCTAAATATATGACTTTTCCCATCTAAATACAAAGATACAGAAGGAGCATTTTTATTGGTGACCTGATACATTTAAGAATAAATTTAAAGATTCAGAATAAATCTGTGCACCAAAGTTTGTCTACACTGGCTGCATCCGCTAGTAATGGCACAGGCTCTTTTTTCATATGCCATATCTACAGCACAGGACTTTTCTTAAAATGTTCTCACCAAAATGGGTCTTTGCACATCAAAACTGTCTGAAGTTCAGCCTAACCTTTGACTGACTAGGAAATACCAGGGTCTGCCACAAAATTGGCCATACAAATGGAAGCCTCTTCCTCAGTCTTCTGGTACTAAACAGCTCTAACTACATACTAACGTTAGGTGATGTTTATAGCTAAACTAACTCAGCCCTGGTGGCCCTAAGAAGACAGTGCACACTACAGTGAGCAAAGTTTTTCACACTTAACTCACTCTTTTATGGCCTAGCAACCATGGTCAATTATACATAGAAGTTACATTTCTGTTTGCTAGACTCACACATTTAATCAAACTAAATAATACTAAGAAAGTAAACTTGAAGTAAATCTATACGCGAAAGATTTCTTCTTGTGCTACTGTAACATTTTTAAATCAAGAGTAAAAAAATGCTCAAAAGGCAATATTGTCCCAATAAAATTCCCCTTGAAACAGCTTAAAAACTGTATCAAAATAACTTTGGAACCACTATCATTTCTTTCAGATATTCTGCTACACTAAAAAACTGCCCTAATACCTGGACTTGTTTTTAGCTTCTAGGCTAAAAGTTTAATCTTATTTAAGCTATGTTATTATTAAACTGTAATGTTTAACCCTAGGTCTGAATTCTCACAGATACTTTTGTATTCAGAGTAAGACAAATACTTTCCTTTGTAAGCACTTTTCAGAGTTCTTAATTTATGTTTTTTTATGTGATTACTTCTTTAATTTCTATCTTCCCCACTAAACTGTGGGCCTTGTGAGGGCAGGGATCATCTCTGTTTGACTCAGCATTATGTCCCCCATACCCAAGGGATGCACATAATAAATGTGTAGTAAGTGTTTGTTAAATATATTAATCTCTATGACTCTACATGAGAACTTCTGTTTGTCACTTCTGTGTATCTCATGCACTAATTATGTTAGAGTCTGATGGCATAAACTGAAAGATGCATAAAGATACATAGAAGACAGCATGTCACTAGAGTGAGAAGGAACTACCAGTAAAAATTTCAATAAAACAATCTTAGCTGGAAAGAAATCAAGTAAACTATAACAGGTTCCATGAATGTTGTTAAATCATTTTGCTAGAGAAAAATGCTGATGATACAGAACGACTCTTACATCACTTGTATTATACTAGGACTGTTGATTTTCTATCATGCAGTTCCAACTGAAAATCTAGAAGGAAACTCCCTTTCATCCATCATCCCATTCAAAGGACAGTACCATGTACTCAGACTATACTTGAAGTTAAGGTTAAGGCCAGGACAGGAGAATGTGTTTGGAAAGACCTTTCTTATCAGCATTCCCCAGTCTCTCCCCTATGCAGCCTTCCTTACTCACCTGTAACTGTTGCAGCACACGATTTTTGTTATTGGTGGCCACTTCATTACATAAACTGCAACCCAAATTCACTTTTACTCAGGTTTAGGCTTATAGCTAGATAACCACTTTATTCTAACCCTCCTATTTTCTCCAAGTCACTAGTGTCCAGCAAATGTTACTTTTCACTTATATTTAAAGTTAACTCATACATTATAAGCTATTCATACCAATTCTGATACAGAAAGATCAGGAGTTATAACTTTACATTATTAATTTACCTTTATATACCACTTGAGGCTTAAGCTTTTAAAATATAAGTTGATGCTTTGTAATTATTGCACCACAAATATTCAAGTTTTCCTCAATAAAGTGAGACAAATTGATATCTAAAGTAACTATCTAACCAGCAATGAAAGATAAATTTAAGTTTGCATGTTACACAGAATCAGCATCTTGGAGTTGGAAGGAACACTAGTGATCATGTGGTTTAGTCTCTTTAACATTTGACAACAAATGTCAACAGTTTTGTTGACTACCTAAAAAGCTGTGTTGTGGGGAAATTAATCCACTCAAGGGGACGAAAACCAGTGTCTTGACTGCAGGTCAGTATTCTAGAATCTTATGCTTCAAGTTCAGGGAAGTATCGGCATCACTGAGAAGCTTATTAGATAAGCAAGATCTCAGGCTTTAGTTCAGTTTTAACTGAATCAGAATCTTCATTTTATCAAACCAGCCAAGTGATTTGTATGTATATTCATGTTCGAAAAGCCCTATCCTAGAGCACAAAACTGCTCTGTTTTTGCTATCCTTTAAGGACGATATAAAACTTGGAAAGAAACTTTACTCACTAAAGACACTTAAAGGACTTGAATATCTTAAGGCGGAAGACTCCTTCTATATACCTTAACCATGTATTTTATTTTGACCTTCTGAAAGAGAAGAAATCTCACATTTTTAATGCCATGATCTAATTCTAATGACAAATATAATGTTCTAAATATACTAATTAGTTGAGTTCTAGTACAACTTATAATTAGAGTTATATTCTCATTATTAAATACTTTAAATAAGTTATAGAATTATAGAATAAATTATAGGTATTGTTGAATACTATATAATATGTGGAATATAATTATGGGATGTAAACTATTAAATAATTTCAATAAAATATAATTTTTAAGTTTTCATATTTAAAATAAGATATTACTATAACTGATGATTACATAGTAAAAGTTCTCAAACAGCTTATTTTAAGTAAGAGATGAAATTTCTAAACTGGTGCTTCTAAAATATTTAAATATTATTTTCTTAATCATTTTGATTATATAATCTGGAGGTTTATTCAGAAAAATCTATGAAGAGAAGTTATGATAAGTAAAATACTACTTGATCCTGGTTTAAATAACTATAATTCTGAATGACTAAAATGCAAATTTTTATTATATAAGAAGTTCAGAAATGTGCGTCTAAATTTTGCTCAAACTTAAATGAGAAAAGAAAATATCTCATTTTGACACTCACCTCAAATACATATTAAAAGTAAACTTGTTTTAATAATTCAACTTAAGAATGTCTTGGATAGCTTATCTGTAGTAATGCCATAGTTTCCTTTTGCTTTGTTGCCATTTAATGTTGTTTTCCAACAACAAATATTACAAATATTCATATATACAAATACATCTATATTTGTATATACAAATACATTTGTATATACAAATATTATACAAAATAAGAAAGAGGGAGAGAAAAATCCACATGTGACTTAGCATGGGCTGCAACAAAATCTCAATTCCCACCCAATTAAAAGTTCCCAGTCTGCTCACAAGTTTCTGGAAGATATATTCTGAAAGTCAATGGTGAGTTTTGGGGGGCATCATTTTTAACCTAAAAAAGGTAAGTCATTAAGCACTATCATAATTAGGATAATTTATTCTGAAATCACATGAAATTGTCTGAATTTTAATCCATGTAACTTGTGAGGGTTTTATTCTTAAAAAAGCTGTTTTTAAAAATACATTTGGTGTATTTGTCAATTTTATAAAATCATCATTAATTTTAGGAGCACCAAGCTAATCTAGTCTGAAACAATCTATAATTCTATAACACATTTCCTTGTGAATGGCAACTAAGTATTTAAATGACATTTTAATAAAAAACCTGGGAAATATTCCAACCTTCTTTCTTCTCGATTGCTTTCCTCAAGTTTCTGTAGCCTTCAAAATCACGAGGCACAGTATTGGAAGGCCAAGCCAATGAAGGACAAACCAGACAGTAAAAAGCGAAAGTGGTAAGAAGGTAAAAATGATACATGAGCTTGAAGACTTTAAAATAAATTTTAAAAGATATCATCAAAGGACAATACACAGTAAAAAGGCAATACATTTTGAATGAATAAAAAGTAAGTAGAAAAACAAGCAGCATTATATCTAAGAAGAATATATAGACTATCAGTTGAAGCTATTCAGCAATTAAATGCATAGTCTCAGTTTATATAACTTGGTAAGTATTGAGAGTGTTTGGATGCCATTGCTTTTTTAAATCTTTTTAAAATGGATCGATTTTCTCAGCTTCCCCCCAAAAGCCTACTTTCAATGATATCCTCTTCCTTTTAAATCTTCACAGAAGACTTTTTCATGGCATCATTAAAAGAACGTCAAAAAGTAATGCCTTTCTACCATAATATGAAAATACCATTAATGCTACATACTAGAAAACTACGTTTAAAACTTCTTTTCTATTTTTTATATACTACACGTGAACATCACTAAATCTAAAAAAAAATTTCTATTTCAAAATTATATATGAAATGGTGTTACAGTCAAATGAACATGGTTGTTATGATGTCAGTGAAAACTGTAATTTTATTAAATGAAAATAAAATGTCATATCACTGTACTAATAATTAGAAACTATCAAAAGGACTAAGGCAAAGGTGGCAATAAAATGGGGAATGCAGTACTTTCCATTAGTAAGATTCTTGCTCAATCAGAAAAGTATAAGAAAAATTATAACTATGTACTTAGAACCTTTGAAATATAATTTAAACAATACCCAATACACAGAATTGGGGGTCTTTACTCAATGGAATGTACTGAATACCAATATTTGTCATATAAACAAAAAGATAGATGTGCTAGGCTCTGATTAAGCACATAGCAATCTTGATATAGCACACTTCTCACCAGAATTCCAAATATATTTTTCAGAATCATCAATATTTTTAAATGAAAAGACTGAGTCTTAAGTATAAATTATTTCATCAAGCCAGTTATTTTCATGTGCCTGCACCTGCGATTGGTTTTCACAATCAACTTATATACTGCTATTATTAAGAAGAGACTAGCAATCTTTCTGGGAAAAAATTCTAGAGTGATATTCAATAGGGATCAAAAGTTCCAGTATAATGGATAGAAAAAGGAAAATAAAGCCATCACTTAAGAAATCTATGTGTTTCTAGAGTTTCAACCTGACACCACTAAACACAAGGATAATGCAGTCTGATGAATTAGTAAAGTTTTTTTATAATTCAAGTCATTTAAAGCTAGATATCCAAAAACATGGGGAATAATGCCTAATCTAGTCTTATATTGATGAAAATGAGCCACTGTGGCTCAAAGGATATGGTTTCCTGGCAAAGAGCTTAAACTTCCTGTGTTTAATATGCAGAATTTTTGCTTACCTTACACAAGAGGACTGTATTAAAATGTATGGATGACATGAGCTAATAAGTAGATAAACTTTGGATGCCTTTTCAATTGTTACCTGGAAGAACATTGTGACAAATCGTTCAAAAGACAGTGGAGGGGCAGAAAAATAATAATCTGATATTTCTCCATAATTTAAAGGAGTTTTTACTTCATTTCATTCCATCACATGGAGAAGGGCTGTTTCTTCCATAAAGAGGAGAGAGAGGGGTACCTTGGTGGCCCGGTCGGTTAAGTGTCTGACTTCGGCTCAGGTCACAACCTCATGGTTCGTGGGTCGAGCCCCGTGTTGGGCTCTGTGCTGACAGCTCAGAGCCTGGAGCCTATTCAGATTTTGTGTCTCCCTCTCTCTCTGCTCCTCCTCTGCTCATGCTTTGTGTGTGTGTCTCTCTCTCAAAAATAAGTAAACATTTAAAAAAAGAGGAGAGAGAATGACAAACCTTGCCAACAATTTTAACTTTTATGTTACTGAAAAATAGGTAATACAGTCTCTTCAATTATTTACCTGATTTTGTTACACTCCCTTATCTATACATATGGATGATTCTATAGCTCAATACAAAATATGCACAGACAGGTAGAAGAATAAACCTTAAACCTCCAGATATTAGCTAGTTGTAGATTTGATAAAGACTTTGATGCAGAAGAAAGTTAAACTTTCATGTAAAACGGGACTTATGACATCCTCCTTGAACATAAATGCAGTTTCTGACATAAAAATAACCCAGCTACCACTCTTCCTACCAACACTTAACTTTTATTAGAGGCCCCATAGTCACTACAACCAAAAACTGACAAATAAAAAACACAGTAAATTAAAAGAAATGGAGCTTCTAAATAATTTGTGGCTTTAGTGGGGAGGAAAGAAAGCAGCTATGAGAATGAGGACGGCGTAGGAAATCTGAACCCGTAAGTGAATCCCCAGATAGATCCTGGAAACTCTCAGCTAAAAGAGGGTAAAATCTTCCCTACATAACTCGATCTTTTTTTTTTCCTTCATGAGGTTGCTGTCCAAAATCTCAGTATTTGAATTAATGGTTCCTCTTTAAAAATTACAAACATCCTTAAAAAGAGGCTTATTGGTTGTAAGTCACTCCACTGGCACGGATGCCTTTAGTCAGATGGCTTTGCTACCAAGTGTAAATTTAAGGGGAGGAGAGAAGGAAGTAGATAGGTTTGGAATTGGAAATAGTTCATTTGGAGTGAAGTAGAATTACATGAGAGCTGACTGGAGCAAGGCAGGTAGCATAAGGACACAGGGGGTCAGCAGATGGAATAAAAAGGATGCTAAGGCACAAATTCACACTTTTCCTCCAAAGGTTGCCTACATCCATGAAAGGAGAGAAAGTTTCTTTTCCATTTTTTTCCTTTTCCTCTTCCCTTCTGAATTGCTCTTACCACACTACAACATGGGTAAAAATCACTTTATGTGAGTCATCATAACATTTTCTGAGAAAAATTAGTCCCAAATTCCAAAGAATCTTTTAAATGAACTTATTCTGTACGTAGGGTTGAGGCACAACCCAAATTTTACAATGCTCTCTCTGATGAACAAAATAAATATGAGGGATGTAAAACAACACAATCAGAATCAATATACCTACAGGAACTATTGTCTCCAAGGAATTCCTATAGAAGACTAAACACTAACTTCAGTAAAGCTGCAGTCATTCTAAATACTTCTGGAACTCTTTGTTTATTATTTGTTTGTTTCAACCTGTAGCAAACCCTTTAGCTAAAATGACAGCTTGCCTACATTTTAAAAATAGGAATTTACACTACGTGCAACCTAAAAGTTATTGGGATCTATAGCAAAGTTAACAATGATGAACGAAATGCTTCAATCAAGCTAAGTAAAACAGTATTCATTTTCATGTTTAAATCCACAACAAGGTTTGAATGGAGTGTGGTAAGAAAAACTATTAAATTTACTATATGGATATAAATATATATAAATATAAATGCATAAATTGGTTCTAAAGGCTTTCACACAGTTTATGGTATGCAAGAAAATTTTTCCTTTCTAGGTTCATACTACATTATGTAGGTTTTAGTTCTACAAAGACACATTATAGCATGTATATGAAAATGCTTTATGAAGCCTTTTCTGAAGTATCATATTATGAGTTACTAATTTGTTTTTCTCATTCTAAGCTATCACTCATTTTTCCCCCCACAGGTAATTAAGGCACTACCTCTAAATTTACTTTATCCAGTTTAATTTTTTTCCCCATCAAAAATTTTCTAATCTCATATCACTTTTTGTTAAAAAATTACTTATTTTTTCACTTGGGTTCTTATGTTTAAATACATTTGTTCGATGAGGTCTTCTTAGCAATAATATCTGCTATTAGTTTTATCATAATAATTACTACATCTACCATAATCACTGAAATTATCAATTTTTCAATTTGAAATAACAGCTGTTTAATTTTTTTATCTTAAAAGCAACAGGGACAAATCTTAATAATAAAATGTTTTTCTTCCAGTACTATAATCAAAATGCTTACTGCCCTGCACTGTCACAAAGATAACCTCTATCAGAAGTATTATTTTAGGATACCTATGATCACTATAAACATGTCAAAAACAACCTAGGTTTCTATTGGGATCCCTATTTTTCATTATTCATACCAAACAGGTGATTATGGTAACATCTCTAAATTTACCTCAAAACAAAAGAGCAGAATCAGCTCATGACCTTGAGAAACAGACCTTGCTTATAGTTACTATTTATGAACACAAACCACCAAGACCTTTAAAAACAAATCGAACCATTTGATATTTTGACCAACTATAACACTGAATTATACAAGAAAATAGTAAGTCATGAGCAAAAGCCCCATTTTCACTCAAGCAGTATGTTGGATCATATAATTCTGTGATCACGGTTTTGTTTTTAACAGCCTTGCATTAAAGCTAATCATTATGTATCTTAATGCTGCCATAATCAGTCATCCATGAAAAACACCTATTAAGACATTAGTATCTTAAGAATGCAAATTCAGTTGCAATGCCTCCTAACCATAAATGTGTAACTCCTTGTTTTCATTATTCAAATCATTCCTTTTTAACTCAAGGACACCACAGCAGAATTAATTTGAAAAATTTAAACCTCCAATTACTTTAGTCAACTGACTGTTCAAGGAAGAAATGCCTGGTTGCCTAAAAAATTTCTAAGTAGACTGAGCAAAGCAGTTTAAATGTCAATAATAATTCTACAAAGCAAGCCTCTTGTAACAAACCATTTGATAGCTGTGCCCACTTTTGAATATCTAGCCAAAAATGCTTAAAATTAATTTGACTGGCATATCCAAAATATGTTTAGCAGGTAATGTGACTGCACCACAGAATCAGTATGTAGACACATAAAGAATTTGTGACTATTTAACCACCCACACATTACAAGTGGTCAAATTTTTATTTTCCTCTTCTTTGCACCCAGTTGGTTTCAGAGGAAGATATTATCAGGATGCAAGGAAAAGAAAGCTTAGAACAGTGGTGAAAAGCTGAGTGACTCCTTGCTGAAAGATTCAAAAAGCCTAAAATAGCATAAATAACTTTGACATAATCAACTTAGAAGCCCTGCAGAAAATACTGAAGAGACCAAATGACATTAAATGACAGTCTGATGGATTAGTTTAGCCTTTAGTTAAACTAATCTAGACAGGAATCAGATTATATCCAGGAGACTACTTAATTGCATTAGAAAATGAGAAAGAAATGAAAACAGTGAGTTGTAATGGTAGAACAAGCTTTGCAGTAAAGATGAGTGGAATGCAAAAGCAGCTATTTCAAAAACAATAAAATAATTTCTAATAGAAATTTTACCTTGTCATAGTCTAAAAATCTACCATATTATTATAATTAAACTTATTTTTCTTACGTACAAGTAGAGATAAACAATTAAAAGTATATCATTGCAATTGTCAGCTAATTTAAATGACATTTCTTTCATTAATATACTGTGAAACTATGTATACTCACTGTAATTGCAAATTAAGATATTCTGTAAAGTAAGAAAAACAGGGATTCATATAACAGTGATTTTATAACACTACCTTTTCTTCTTCCTCTTTTCTTTCCTTTTCAGCTTCTCTAAATCTTTCTTAGCTAGATCTATAATTTCAATGGTCTCTTTGTCTGAGGACAACACAGTAGGAGAGAAAGCTGATGATCCACTGAAATACGGTGATCTCGCTGTGGCTCTCGTCAAGTTTTTTCGAAGGTTCTCATTCACTGCTTCACTTTCTAATAATTTTGCCCTAGTGAATAAAAACATTTAAACAAGAAACATTTCTTATTGTAGTAATAAAATTCATAGCATAAACTTTACCACCTGCACTGTTTCTAAGTGTATGGTTCTGCAGCACAGTAACTCACACTGTTGTGCCACCATGGCCACCATCCATCTCCCGAACTCTTTCAAACTCTTTCAAATCTTCTTCAACTACCCATTAAGCATTAACTCCTCATCTCCCTCTCCTCCCAGCCCCTCACAACCACCATTACACGTTCTGTCTTTACAAATCTGACTACTCTAGGAATTGATTGGGGAACATTTTAAATATGCTGTTTTGTATGCCAAAAAGTTTTCCAAAACGTATTTCAACATTGCTACAAGCTAGCATTTTTTAAAATAAATGTGCTCACAAACATTAATGTTTAGGATTTTTTTAATTCCCTGAATAAGTAATTATAAATTGGAAATAACATTCTTAGTGCTCAAAAGTGCCAATGGTAATGAGATTAGTTGCATTCTGGCCAGTAGGCACTAGAGACCTTGCTTTGTCAACCCATCATTTAAACTTAAAATCTACAAGCGGCATGGTCCCCCTTCTTTCAGTTCCTCATTCATCATGCTATAATAGCATTTCCAAATCTTTGTAAGGAATAGTTAGTCAAACTTGCCCCTAACTGGCTGAAAGACATCTGGCTCCTAAACATGGTGTGGGAAAAGATGGTATCTCCAAGGAAACCTGAGTTTGATAATTGAAAACATTCTTTTGTTTGTTCAAGCAGTTCTAACAATGACAGGAGAATAATGTATGTCCTGTCAGTAATATGCAAAAAAACACAGAATGATGAGATTCTAAAAGAGCTGGACTCTTGAAACAAAAAGGGATTCAGAGTCCACTAGACCAGTCCTTTATTTCTATTTCATTTAAACGATCGAGAATATAATTATCTACTTCAATATAATAGATTTCCAAGGTCAATTTGGCACAAGGGTGATTGACACAGGGCTGTAAGGAGAAAGTACTATTACTGTATCTGTGTCAAAACTATATTGCAAAGCACTTTTACCATATATTCAAGTATTTCAAAGAAATATGCTAGATTAATTTGCAATTGTAAGCTCTATAAGACATAGTCAGCTCTGTGCTTTTTCACTGTCTACCAAAATTATTCATGACTGCTGAATTCAGCTATAAATACAGTGTACATACGTCAGTGAATATATATTTGAAATCAGTGTCTGGTGTCATATGTGAGCAGAATAACAATACAATATTTTAAAATGGTTAAGTTTCTGTGTACAAACTTCCAGGTTAAATGATCTCCAAGTTATTTTAAGGAAAATTCTGAATATGATGGTGTCATGTTTTTATTTAAGAGCATAACCTAACTATAAGAAGCCAGTTTAACTATAAAAACACAAAGTCAAAATTTACACTTTTCTGTATTTTTAATATAGCCCAGGTACATAATAATGAATGTTAAGAATAAATGAAAATATAATAAGTTAGCTATCAATAATGTCCTGCCTTGTATCGGTTCATTCTTATAATAATCGGCCAAGTTCTTTTTTGTAATGATCTAAGGTTTGCATTAGTGGGCGTATACTCAATGCTTCTTCAATGCTTGTACTGATAAAAGCTGAACCCCTTAGGGACCAACTCCACAAAGCCCATGACACATTAGCAGAAGTTCCCTTGGGGCTTTTTTTTATAGCAACTCTCTCTTTCCTTCTCTTTGTCTTCCCACTCACCAACCCACCCTGCTGCCTGCATTTCATTTAATAGGAAACCAAGCAGTCAGTCATAAGGGGAAGTATACGGACCCCTTTAGGAAGGAGCAGACAGAGGGTTTGCATCTCAGCTCTGTAACTCACTTGATCATGGACTACTAGTCTTTAAAAGCCTCTACTCGGGGCGCCTGGGTGGCGCAGTCGGTTAAGCGTCCGACTTCAGCCAGGTCACGATCTCGCACTCCGTGAGTTCGAGCCCCGCGTCGGGCTCTGGGCTGATGGCCCAGAGCCTGGAGCCTGTTTCCGATTCTGTGTCTCCCTCTCTCTCTGCCCCTCCCCCGTTCATGCTCTGTCTCTCTCTGTCCCCAAAATAAATAAACGTTGAAAATGGGAATGAAAGTAATACATTTCCCTACCAGAATGATAATGTATTTAATGAATAATAACTATTGTTGTCAAAAAGTTGGAAATGATATAATTATCAAATAGTAGATTAGTTAAATAAATCGATTACAATGACAAAATAGTACCTCATGGAATCATGCAAAAATCATGTTAAAAAATTATTTAACAGCATTTAAAAATGTTCATAATATCTTGTCACATTTCAAAGAAAAGATAGCAAAGGAATATATCTACCCTGTTGTCAATCTTGCTAAAGAATGCATTGAAAAAAACACTGAAGAGATATATCAAAATGTTAACATCAGATCTACCAGATGGTACCAATATGGATGACTTTTTTTTATACTTTATCTTCTCAAAACTTTCTGCAAAAATTTTAAACCCCCCAAAACCAAGAATTAATTAATTAGTACCCATTATTATTTCACAACAACTAATGGGACATGTAAATTTATTAGAAGGAAATTAGTATTGTTTTACAACTAGAATAAAATTTAAAATATAAAATATAAACATTCCCAAGTGGCAAAGCATCAACATAAATGTGCATTATGTTAAAGGAGTTGTGAATAAATGGCTTCTGAAGAAAAAGTTTTGAAAGAAATATGGATTAGAGTTGGAATTAGTAGAAAAAACACGGTATGAGAACTTGGACCATGTTAGACTGTGAAATCCTGTTCTTTCATTTGAGCCCTATGATAACTCCTGAAGACTAGCAAGTATTACTTTATTCTTAGAGATGAACAAACTAAAGCTCAGAGATGTTAGGCAACTTGCCTAAGGTCACACACTTATTAATAAATAGAAGCTTAAATATCAACCCAGGTAATCTCATTTAAATTCAAAGCTCATTTATGCTTATTCCATACATCCATTATTTTTAAATTGTAAATTGCAGTCTTGTAATTCTAGAAGACTACCCTCAGGAGTGGGATACACCTAATTAAAGAGCCATCAAAGAATTCTGGATAAGCACAACAAACTATTAACTTACACCAAGAAAGATTTGATCACTGAACTCAGAGCCTGAGAGTCATCTCTGTTTTCTAAATGGCTTAAAGAATGGTTTAAAAAAGGAAGATATTAGATGTTGTATTTAGCCACTGGATGGAGTAGAAACGATTCTGTTTTATAGGAAATAATGACACTAGTCAAGCCATTCGTCTTAAAGTGAAATCTAGGTTAGATATGTCCTTAGAAGAGAAGAAACCTGGGTGGCTCAGTTGATTAAGTACCTGCCTTTTGATTTCAGCTAAGGTCATGATCTCACAGTTTTGTGGGTTTGAGTCCCTCGTCAGGCCCTGTGCTGGCACCATGGAGCCTGTTAGGATTCTCTCTCTCTTTCTCTCTCTCTCTGCCCCTCCTCAACTTGTTCTGTCTCTGTCTCTCTCAAAATAAATAAATTTTAAAAACTTTAAAAAAAGAAGAAGGAGGAGAAGAAGAAACAGAGCACTAGAACCAGAGCTTAGAATTAGCCTTAACAGTTGACCAGTGCCAAAGAAATAAAAGAGATAAAGAGAAGCAACCTAGAAAGAGAAAGAGAATCTTCAAGAATTCAAAGAGATATCAGTTATGTCTCAAGGAATGGTAAAGATGGGGTCTACAGAGTGAGATCAGAAAAAAGGTTTTGGGAAATAGGCAAGAAAGAGCACTGCCAACACAGGATAGAAACTGTAAGTCCAGATTAGCTACTTACTAGACCTAGGACCCAATGCCCCAAAAGTCTCCACCAAAAAGGTAAACTTTAAATTTTTTTTTTT